GGGTCCAGAAGGGACAGTGTACTTGGCAGGTGCCCCCCAAGTGGACCCCGGATGGGCTGTCCTTCCCCTGTGGAGGGGGGCCTCTGCACCCTCTCATCCGGCCTCATTCCATCCCCCAGCGGAAGGCCACCCCGACGTGCATCTGTGCTCTGTCCCCCTCCTCGGGGCCGCCCCTTCCCCTGTCTGGAACCCAGCCTGGGGAGAAAGAGCCACTGAAATCCGCAGCCCGGTTCGAAAGCCCCAGTGCCTGCCGGCCTCTGTGACCTTGAGCCAGGTCTTCCCACTCTGGGCCTCAGTTTCCCTGTCTGTCCAGTGCCGGACAGGGAGGCTGGACCCTGGTCCTGGCTGGCAGAGCAGAAATAGGCATCCTGCCATCGGGGATTCAGAGGCAATTGGAGTGTACAGGCAACCTTTATGGGGGGGCTTCACCTCACCTCGCTCTGCACCAAACCCAATACCTGCCGTCAGCCTCGGCCCTGAGATCCACTGCCCCCAGCTTCCACTTCAGATCCATGCCCTTTGCTGGGGTCCAAGGCTTGGGCGTACACCACAGTTGGTGCTCAAAGCCCCCTACGACTTCCCCAGCCCAGCGCAGGCTGGGGTCTCCTTCCCTGAGTGGCTGCCACCCAGCCACCACATACGCTGACCAGGTGCCAGGGCAGGTCCTGAGTCTGGGTCACTTGCCCACCCTCCCCTCCCCTGGAGTTCCCGTCAGCCTTTTGCCCAGGCCTGCTTGGGTCAAATGCCCACCTCCCCTGCCTTGGGACCCCCGGGACCCCGTGGAGAGACAGGCCATGGCCTTGAGCCTGGCTGTGTGACCCTGTGACCCAAGCAAGCCTTGCCCTTCTCTGGAGTTCAGTCTCCCCAACTGTACAGTGGGATGGGGCAGGCCTGGGGGCTTCTGAGGTCCACCAGTCCAAGGTGGCAGGCCCCAGGGATGACTAAGCATGCCTACGGCTGGCTTGAAGAGGTGCCAGGCCTCCCCGGAGCAGGTGTCTGTCTGGGAGCGCCCAGCTCTGCAGCCCCAGCCCCTGGTCAGAACAGGCATGGCAAAGGTTTGGTTGGGGCCCACACCTCTCCCCAGAGGCTGCTGCCCAGGATGCCCTAGCCCAGTCCATGCCCTTAGGGAGTCCGCTTAGCCCCTCTTTCTGGGCAGACTGGGCCCAGAGGGGTACAAGGGCTGTGACAGAAGTGTGACCTTATTTCCAAGTCCCATCTCCCCCTTTCCCTCCCTTTATCCTGTCAGACCCCTGAGTTGGAGAATGTTGTTGCTCCTCCCCCTCCTCAGTTTACTGACCGGGAAACTGAGGCCCGGAGAGGCTTGGGGACTGAGCCAGTGCTTCACTACCAACACTCAGACTGCACTGTGAACATCCATGGGGTGAGCAGGGTGGACTGGGCCTGTTCCCCCCTCGTGAGATTGCTCCCGACCCCACTCTCACCCCTGCAGGAAGTGAGTTGCCCGTGTGTGCGAGCTGTGGCCAGAGGATCTATGATGGCCAGTACCTCCAGGCCCTGAACGCTGACTGGCATGCAGATTGCTTCAGGTAGGCAGGGGCTGGTCGGGTGGCATGCCCAAGGGAGGGGCCAGCCAGACACCAGAGGCTGGCCAGCAAGGAACCCCGGTGCCTTCCAGGGCAGTCTCTGGCTGTGACTACCAGCAGGTGCCCCTTCTCTGGCTTCAGTTTCCCTGCCTTACAACATCTCTAAAGGTCCCTCTAGGTGACCTGGGGGTCAGGGAGGGTGGACAGAGGAGGAGGTGGGCAGTGGAAGGCAGTGGGCCCTGCCTTCCCAAGGCTCTCACTCTTTGCTGAGCCCTCCCCATCCCCCATTTTTATGAAGATGTGTAGCCTGCGGGGTCAACCCCTCCAGACAGACAGACAGACCGACCCCCAAGCATCGGAGAAGAGTGGTAGCCAAGGACAGGGTCCAGCCCCCAGGGACCCAGTGGTGGCCCAGTGAAGCCAACAGGACCATCCCGAGAAGCCAGGTGGCAAGTCTCCAGGGATGTGGGATTTTGTACGGAGACGGAATTCCAGGCCAAGGGCCTAGCATGGCGTGGAGGCGTGACCAGGCCTGGCCTGGGTGAACAGTGCAGTTCTGAGCCCGAAGTGCCATAGAGGGGGCACAAAGCAGTCCCCACAGCCAGGGGCACCAGCAGGCAGCTGTTGGGATTTGGAGGTTAGGCAGTGGGAGCGAATAAGTCACCAGGTTTGGTTTGGCTTTCTAAATAACGTGTAACGGTTTCCATCACGCTTTGTCGAGGCCAGTACTGCCCGAGGCACCCTGCACCAATAAATGTTGTTTCCCTTTCACCCCGAGGAGAGAAGACTGAGAGAGGTTAATTCTTCTGACCAAGCTCACCCAGCTGGAGGGTCGAGGGAGTGGACACACAGCAGGCATACAGGCACTGGGGAATACGGGCACTGGGGAGGCCAGGAGAGAGGCAGACCCCCACCCTGGGGTCCCAAGTAGGGCACTCAAGCAGGAGGGCCTTCAGAGAGGAAGAGAAAACATCAGGTACCAAGGCAGGCCTGGCCATGGGGGGCCGTGCAGGTGATGGAGGGGAGCAGGGACAGCTCTCTGGGTCAGAGGACAGAATGAGGATCGATTTGTGGAGAACCCTGAGCACCAAGCCGTGGCCTGCCCTTGGGGTCAGGGTGGTGGATAGACATGCTGGTCAGAGCCGGCAGCCCAGCAGGCAGGGAATGGTCAGACACGGTAGTTCAAAGCCTGGGCTCGTGACGGCTGGCCCAGGACAGTGGCTGAGGGTAGTCACGGAGTAGGCTGACTGGTGGTAGGGAGTGGGGGGTCCAGAAGGGACAGTGTACTTGGCAGGTGCCAACCTTAGCAGCCCACACCCATGAAGCACCCTCCATGCCTCTGCGTGAAGCCTTCGACATACCCTTCAGGTCCTGGTTACCCGCAGGTCAGCTTTGGCAACCTTCCGTAGGTTCAAGTTCATGAGAAAATGGGATAAAAGGATAACAAGATCCCTCCCCCAATTCTTTGCAGCCCCCCACCCCACCCCCATCCCCATCCTGCTGTCAAACCCAGAAGAAGGGAGCCCTGCCCGGTCCTATTACCATCTTTGTGATGAGGACCATGGTTGAGATGGTTGTTAGGGTCCAGTCCCCCCCACTGAGGGGTTCCCAAGTGTTCTTCGCCGTCCAATGTGCCATACCTCATGCCCTTGCCCAGAGGTGGTTAGGTGCCATCGGGTTGGCACCAACTCACAACATCCCCTGCCCAACAGAAGGAAACAGTGCCCGGTCCTGCACCCTCCTCGTGTGTCCTTTGGGAGCCTCTGGGCACAGTCACTGTGTCAGTCCATCTCCTTGAGGGCCCCCCTCTTTTTCTCAACCCTCTTATTTCATCAAACAAGACGTCCTTCTCCAGGGACTGGTCCCTCTTGGTAACATGATACGCAAAGCACCAGAGAAACCCCAAAACCCACGCTCACTGCACAGCACAGCAACCATATAGGACAGGGTAGAACCGCCGCCCCATCCCCCACCCCCATGAATTCCCAAGCCTGTAAAGCCCTGTCTTTCTCCCGCAGAGCAGCTGATGGTTTTGAACTGCTGACCTTGTGGTTAGCAGCCCAGCGCTTAACCGCTATACCAACGGGGGTCCTACGAAGTGCCATAGTACAGGGACCATTATTTGTCCCATTGGCACATGAGAGACAGGTTCAGAGACAGTAATGACGTGCTGAAGGTTGCACAGCCGAGAGCTGAAGCCCCGGCCTGTGTCCGTCCGACTCAAGGGCTGCAGATCTGGAGGGGGAGCGCGGGCGAGCGGGTGGGGACTGGTGAAAGCAGGGGCAGAGTCCAAAGCAGTCCTGGACGTGTTCTAACCTGGGTGCTGGGAAGTGGGGCGGTGGTCCTGTTGGTTCCGGTGGAGGTGGGGGTTGGCGGAGAGGCTGTGGCCATCCAGGGTGGTGATGCCCTGAGGCCAGGGAGGGTGAATCCCCGCAGAGCTGGGGGAGGCGTGGATGCACGGGGGTTTTAACCTCCAGGGAAGGTGGGAGGAGCAGGGCAGGGCAGCCTCTGGAGGGAAGCTGAGGAGGAGGCACAAGGGCATCTGACCTTATTGAGTCCCCTGCCCTGCATCTTTGGGGGAGGATGAGGCCCCCGGGGTGGGGGCAGGAGGGAGAAGGCAGGTTGGCTGCCTCTGGTATGGCAGGAGGTCAGGGCGTGAAGGCTCCCACAGGAGGGCAGGCCCACAGGTCTTGGCACTAAGAATGGCCCGTGGCATCTCACTTAGGGGTGTGTCATGGCTGCCCCAGTCTTCCTGCCTCTCCCAACAGCCCCCAAAGCAGGGGAGCTGGCAGTGCCCTCCGCAGCTCCCCGAGGGTCTTGACTGGCTAAGGCTACCCTTCACAGACAGCCGAATGGGGAGCTGTAGGCACTGAGGTCCGGGGACAGCCCGGCCGAGTCATGGCTGAGGCTGACACAGCCCCAGGGCTCTGAGGCCATGGGCCTGGGCCTGCTCTAGAGACCCACCCTGCAGCATCCTAACCCCTCTGAGGTGCTCCAGGAGGAGAGGCTGGGGGGGTGGGGGGGCAGCCTGTCCCCTCCAGGGCAGGGTAAGGAAGAGATCCCCAGACACCCTTCCCACCAGGCTGCCCTTCGTGGCTCAGGGACCACCCAGGCCCCTGCAGCAGTTCAGTAGTTGCACGTAGTCACAGGACACCCCTCTGCATCAGGCCTGTGAGGTGGGTGCCATTTCACCGGTAAAGAAGCAGAGACACATCGTTCAGTGAGTCACCCCCCACCCCACCCCCACCCCCATGTCCCACGCTTAGGAAGAAGCGGAGTAGGTCCAACTCACCCCCGACTGACAGACGGACTTGGAGCCTGTACTTAGCACACCTCTTCCAAGGACAGGGCCCTGACTTTTGGGAGTTTCCCATCTCACACCACAACCACACCAAGCCAGACTCCGTGCCATTGTGTCAGTGCCCACTCACAGCAGCCCTATAAGACAGGGCAGAACTGCCCCTGTGGGTTTCCAAGACTGTCACTGTTGACAGGAGTAGAAAACCCCGTCTTTCTCCGGCAGAGCTGCCGGCAATTTAGGACTGCCGACCTTGCGGTTAACCACCCCGCCAGCCACCGGGGCTCCTCTCTCTTCTCACAGGAGGGGCGTGGGGTGGGGACAAACAAACAAATTTACTGTCCTCGGGTTGATGCCGACTCCTAGCAACTCCGCAGGACAGGGCTGCTGTGGGTTTCCGAGACTAACTCTTCACAGAAAGCCTCCTCTGTCTCCCTCCGAGAAACTGGTGGTTTCAAACTGCTGACCTCGGGGTTAGCAGCCCAAAGCACAGCCCACCGCATGCCCGGGACTGCTTTCCCACCGAAGAGAGCCCGGCAAAAGCCTAAATATCATGCCAGATGCTGGGAGCCACGGGCGCTCTGAGGAAGTGTCCTTTGAGCAGAGAACCAAGCTAGGTGAGGGAGGGGCAATCCGGGCTGGACCCTGCACGTGCAAAGGCCCTGAGGTAGGAAAGCGCTTGACACCTCTGAGGAACAGAGTTCCTCAGTGCGGCTGGAGTTGGGGCGCTGGGTGAGTGTTGGGGGTAGTCAGGGGCAGTAGTGGCGCAGAGCCTGGTGGGCTCAGTGACTCTCAAGGCCTGAGCACCTGTGTGGAAGCTCACAGGTAGACAGAGCCACTTGTGTTGAGACCCAGGGCCCAGGGAAGGAACTGCTGCCCGGGTTACATGCGTCCCTTCTGTGGGCAGCAGGAAGGTTGCCACAGGCCCAAGGGAAGCCCCTGTTCTCGGTGCTGAAGCTTATCTGCTTCGAACCCCACCATCCTCCAGCTCGTCACCCCCGGGACTACCATTTCTCTATCCCTGTTACCACTCAGAAGTTACAGCCAAGCCCAGAGTCGTCCTGGCTCCCCTCTCCCAGTTGCTGCCTCTGGGAGGTCCTTTCCCGGAAGCCTGCAGTGCAAGTGCCCCTGGACAGTGGTCGCTCTGGTAACATCTCCCTGGAGGCTGGGTGGGTCTCCCTAGACGAGGAGGGCTGGCCCTGTGGGACCTTCCCCGTGAAGGAAGACGCCCTATCCATGGGAAGTCGGCCTGTGTTCCCATGGGGGCTGCACCGGAAGCGGCAGCTGATTTCAAGCTTGTCCCTGAGCCCGGGGAGGCTCAGTGTCAGGCAGAAGTGGAGGGGCCTGCAGGGCGTGCAGGGCCCAGTGCCTGCTAAGTGTGACCACAGCCCCCGCCTGGGGTCAGAACCTAGCTCCCTCCCCTCTGGCTGCCCAAGCTGCTTCCTGTTTCTGGGCTCAGACCAGAGCCTCATGCCCCGAGATACTGAGTCTTCCTCCCATGCCGGGTGGCCACACCTTCAGCCGCCTCCAATCCTGAGTGTCTGCAGCTGGACAGGGAAGTGGCCCGTGGGCCCGATTCCGCTGTTGTCCCTTGAGGCTGCGAGGGTTCCCTGCCCAGCTCCCAAGGATGCTAGACTCAGTCCTGACCAGACGCCGCTTCCTCAGAGGGGCCAAGTAAGTGGAGTGCCCTCCTCCCCACCTGCCCTGGACCCTAGATAGGGCCCCGGGGGTGAGGGCTGGGAGGACCTGTGGGCCAGATCCACCCAGGTCCCGGTCCTGAGGCAGGAGAACTGAAATTACTTGGCCACTGTAGCCTGGGGTGGGGAGGGGCTCAGGAACACTGGCCGTTCTAGATGTTTCCTTTGATGTGAGGCTAGTCCTTCAGCTATTGTGTCTTCTCCCTGGTGTTCGGGGCACCCCTGGGTGGGATGGGACCCAGCCTCATGGAGGGTGCTACCACTCTGGCCCAGCCCACCTATCCCTGCCCTGAGAGAGGGACACTCCCCCAGGTGGCTTAGGGGCAGGCTCTCTCTCTGCACCTCACACCCTGGCATTCTCTCCATACCCTGTCATACAGCTGTGGGACACCTGAAGAGCCAGGCCTGTCTCACCCCCACCCCCTCCCCTGGCTCCCGGCTGGGACAGACATGTCCTGGGTTCCTCTGTGTTGCCCATCAGCAAAGGTCCACTGAGGCCCCTGAGGGCTAGCCACTGGGCTGGGCTGCATCCCCTGGCTGACTTGGGGATCAAAAAGTGGCAAGTGGCCCCAGGAACCAGGGTCTGGGGAGATTGGTGGGCCAACCGAGCCAGGTGGTGTCGGGGGCGGGCACGATGAGACACACATGCATGCACGCTTACAGAGCCTGGGTGACTTATTGCTGGGGCTTCCACGGCGTGCAGTGACCATGAATGATGAGTGTCCCTGAGAGTGATGGGGTGGGCACTTCCAGGCTGCAGGAGAGCATTCGCTTAGGGCAGATGGATGACTGGACAGCCCTGTCCACAGGGGCTCAGCCCTCCCACCGGGGTGGCTAGGGGCCTGCTTCCTGCCGGGGCCGGGCTGGTGGGTGGAGCATTCGCTTAGGGCAGATGGATGACTGGACAGCC